TGCAACAAGTATTTCCTGCGCACACACATGTTCAAGATGCACGGCATGATCATCGATGAAAACAAGGTAGTGGTGGCGAACGTCAACGGTGCATCGAACGGGGAGGGGCTTGTTGCTCCAAAGCAGGGCTTCCGTTCGAAAGTTCACAAGAAATCAACGCCCCCCGTTCTGGCGCAGCCGGCAGACGACGGCAGCAGCAGTTTGGCGAGGGACGACGAAGGCAGTGCAGCGGATCAGGGCTGGGCTGACGAATGTGCCGGCACCAAACTCCAGGTAGCGGAAAATGCGCAAGCCAGCAGCGGCGCCTCGACTGCAGGCAAAGCTTCTGACGTTTGTGACAACTGTGACCAGGAAACATTGGAAATCATGCCCGAAGAGCTAGACCTTCAAATCCAGTGTGACGGATCGGCAACGGCCAGTGAGTCTGTGAAAGAAAAAGTGGACGAGGACTCATCCTCAACGTCGATTGGTCAGCAAGCGTCAGAAAAGACCGACGACAGACGTGAAGACTTGCCATTACAAAAGTCGTCGACTCCTTAAAATTTACTGAAAGTGGAAACTGACTGGAAACTGATAAAATTTAAGTAAAATTATTACCTGTCTTGTAAACCAGTTAGGCAGAAAAATGCTACACGCACACATGGGCAACGTGCGGATCGGCACATGTTAGGCAATACCAGCGGATCGGTCATTTTTAGTATCGTTCATTGCACCCTGCCCTGTTGGCAAAAGCGTCAACAGATCTCCTCTTCACCCAACAGTCCGCTGTAACATGTAAGTTTCCAAGCCAGAAATTAAATACTCTATTAATTGCTCGATTTTGTGTTGGTGACTGAACGGTCACAATCTACTTTCAGGAAGCAACGGCTAACAAAACTGCATTGAAAGAAAAGAAACCATGTGGGGAAAACAAATGCCAAACTGATCTGTTCTTTTTTGATGTATTTCTGTGACTCCTCTTGAAAACAGATAGAGACTGCGATTTTAATCCGGGCTTTGATTCGCAGTGCGTAATTTGGTCATAAACGTAATCCTCATTTTACAGGAAAATTATAGTGCTTCATGTAATGTCTTTGAATATACCATAAACAGAGCAGAAGTCTTTCGTCCTTCTGTACTGCATAACTGCAACCTGAGTACAGATTTGTTTCAAAGACACCAGGAGAATTGCGAGCTTCGGTTACTGTGCACGTGCAGTGGTGAGAAAGAATATATCTATTGAATTTTGTCGTTGCACGTGATGCTCGGGCAAATTTGTCGAGTTTGTGGAGCGTCTGACTCAGAAGTAGTAAATACTGGGTTCGAGCCCCAGTAGAATTGCTCGCTTCCCTTTCTTCTAAGGCTAATAAATGAGTACCACTCTGTGGGATAGGAAAGGAACACTACACTACGCTTTTCGTTTGGTTGCTATTGATTGTCTTTAAAGCAGGGCAGTACTGCTTAATGATGAGGAAACGGAGATCAGCTCTGCATCTTTAATTTCCTGAAAAGAAGCGCGCCGGAAATGGCTCTGGCATGAAAGTTTAATGAATACCGATATTTCGACTAACAAAGTGTTCTCCCTTCCCTTCATAATCATTTGACCGATTTTGCTACATTGAAGGTTTACCAGTGAGATAACGACAAACGGAACCAATGACTTTTCCATATTCGAAGATACATTCAATGCGACCTTATATAAGGATTTGTCTCTAATATTAGAAGTCCTAAAAGTTTTGACAGCTACCATGGCGGCTAAGAAGGATGCAAGCTGCCAAACTGGCTCTCTTGGTTGCTCGCCTTCACAATCTTGGCGCCAAGAGTAGCATTTAGAAGAACGCTTTCTTTCACTGTTACTACACGCATTATCCATGTATTTGAAGAGCAGTATTAATCAGTAAATGATCAGCAAAACATCTCTGTGTCCTCTCCTAGTACCGGTCATCGCTACCTTTCACTATTGACTCTTCAGTGATTCCTGTGACATTCTACAGAAGCCTATCCCCGTTACAATTATTGTTAATATACATTACCTTCCTTTTGAAACGACTATTTTCTACACGCACTTGGTCAAACAAAACTTGACTTTTTTACCATGTTTTTATGAATATGAGGCCATATAATGACGTGGTTTAAACTGCCGGTCAAGACAACATCAGAGTTGCACCAGCGTTGTGTTTTAAAGACAATTCGTCGGTAAAAGGGTCGAACTCGTACGTATTTTATTTTTTAATATGTTCTAGATTGTCTCCTGTTACATAAGGGCCTGGAAGCTGTGCTGGGGAATGCTTCGGTAGGTTGAGGCGGCGATATCATGTTGATCTTTTTCCACCACTCGCCATTGATATTATTCTGTGACCAAACCCTCAAAAAGTGCAACACTTCTCTTCTCTGAACCCTTTCACCTGCATGATAGTTGAGGAGACGTTGGCTGTAGATCACAAAGGCTGGCAACCTGAAAGAACTGCTGAACAGCTGCTGGCCAGAAACTCTCAAAAGCTCAAAATATAAATAAATTTGTGAAGACGTAAATAACAATACTTGCCAAAAGGTTCTAACTCAAATAGTTTCTAAACACAACGAATGTCGTTGATGCATACCACTTTGGCCATGGACGGTTATTTGGCCAGAATTCATATCTGGGCATTGTGCAGTTTTCTCTACTTACCTGATCGACTCTGGCCACCTCTCATTTTTTGCAGTTTTTTCTCAAAGCAAAATTGAACTTTGTTCATCAACATCATGAAGCATCACATCAAATGGTCATAAAATTCCAAAGGTAGTAGTGTGGAATTATGCTTTCTGGGTTACACACTCATTTAAGATAAAAGTGAGGTTCAAATTCTTCAAACAGTTGAAAATGATTGGTTGATATTCGACAATGTATCGATGCTTCGCTGCTATGCACGGGATGTACATATGCAAAAAAATAATATGCTTATCAAAGTAAAACTTCGCTTCATCAGCAAATATGACGCGAATACCGTTTTTCTAACCTTACCTCAGCGATAACCTTTGTCGAAGAGGGCAACGTCTACCGGCGAAAACGCTGTCACGTGTGCACTTGTGTGCATAATATAATGTGAGCTTCTATTTACACCCAGATGCAAACGTTCAGGTGATCTGACCCTGTGGCTATCCTTTTTGAGGCGCTGAATGTGCCTGTCTATGAAATGCAGAACTAGCTGCTGTTTCGCCTTCCTTCTAACCACGCGCTTAAGGCAGCCACATGACTGATTCTTACTGTACCAGTTGTGAAGAATTTTCGTCTGCTGTTAAACTGTTGGTCATTTCTTGTGCAGTTCAATTTAGTCAGCTATACAACGTTAAGCCCATTGCTGAAATGGCCCTATTGATTTTCTGATAGACACTGAAAGATACGTATGTACCATGTGAAGCATAAAACTAGATTTTTGAATTTTATTCGTCTTACTGCAACTGCAACGCTTGACCAAACCAAAACATTTTTCATTGGCTACCTCAACTAAGCAAAATTGAACTGAATCGAACAGGAGAAACAAAGACTGTGCAACAGTGACTATATCCATATCACATTTACTTTACGAGTAGTGATATAATGCAGGACGTTTCATGGCATGACAAGGACAGCTTTCCTATTGACGTTTCATAGCTGTCAGAGATCGTCGCATCGCTTTCCTTGATAATAACGCATAAGTGGACGCCAAGTTGAAACCATTGAGTGCAACATGCAGTGAATCTAAGGATCCATGCAATGTGCACGAAATTCCATCTCCATGGGTTTGTGGATCGAACCATAAAGATTGAATGACGGTGTCCTTGCCCCGTAATTCTCATGTTTTTTCTCGCCTTTCTTTGTGAACAAATGAAATCTCAATAGCAGCGCTTCCCCTTCTTTTGTTTCCAGTCGCGCCCTTAGCAATCCGTTCAGCACTGCATGCCAAACCGACAGGCCATGCGTTGACCTTTATTGCACCACCAATTACTACATTCTTGTTGAAGCCGATTGACCAATGGGCCGAGACAACGTTGAAAGCTTTTCTCTCTCCAGCGAAACATACAGTAGCATACCAATGCAATGGACATCGAGAGGAGGTTATCAATTACGAAGTTCTAAGGGACTACAATAAAAAGAAAACAAAAAACAACAAGGGGTTGTCCATGGATGAAATTACCTAACAACGATGAGCAGTTGTGGTTGAGGACAAGGCCTAAGATGAGTGGAGAATTATCCGTGATTTTGCCAATGTTGACTGGCAATGCAAATTGTCTTCCACAACGTTGACTAAAACAAAGTGTAAAATGACGTGGACAGGATTTAACCAATGATGACTCATTGAGTTGCAGTTACAGCTGACAAAAAAACAGAGGCAAGAGAACACGCAGCCAATACAACAAGTTAAGGAAATCAGTCAGCCAACTAGCCGACCAGTCAGTTTCAATGATCGTCCATCCTTTTGGGTCACGGAACAAGGATATCAGACCCTTCAGCTCATTTGATGGTAAAATTCCAATTCACGTTCAGCACGACACACATGAAACGGAGAGACAGGAGGCACCAACAGTTGAACTGTGTTTTGCCCTGTATATGAAGATGTCTTAAGGGAAAATACAAGCGTTGTTCACACTTCCTTGGCCCTTGAAAATGGGCAGGATGGTGATTAATGAGTGACCAGTTCATATTAAAATGTAGTTATATGCTTACGAATCGAGATATATCAATTCATGTTCAAATATGTTTTTGTTCAACTAAACATAGTAGTGCTGTTTTGCCTCCTTGCATAGCAGGTGCTATGAAAGCTATAATATCACGAATCCTTGGCCTGCTGAAGAAATTCCCTAGACTGTTAGAAGTAAGGGGCGCGACTACATAGTGCAAATCCAGTGAATTGTATATATTTTCATTGCTTTCCTGTGATACTACAGGATCTGAGTATTTCATATCGAGGAAGAATCCCTTGATTATGAAATTAACTCCACAGGCAAATTATGTCAAATTTATGCTGTTTCGATTGCACCTTCGTTTTCTGGCACCCATCACCAACGCAAATTGAACAGCACTATATATTATGATAGGTCTTCATTAAATTATGAAATATTATTTCCTACTGCATTATTGTTATACGTTACATATCCCTGATGTGAGTTTCTATGGCAGGAGCCAAAACAT